TGAACAGTAGGGGGCGCTCTTCTATATAAGATATGATAAACTGAACAGTAGGGGGCGCTCTTCTATATAAGATATGATAAACTGAACAGTAGGGGGCGCTCTTCTATATGAGATATGATAAACTGAACAGTAGGGGGCGCTCTTCTATATGAGATATGATAAACTGATCATTAGGGGGCGCTATTCTACATAAGATATGATAAACTGAACAGTAGGGGGCGCTCTTCTATATAAGATATGATAAACTGATCATTAGGGGGCGCTCTTCTACATAAGATATGATCAACTGATCAGTAGGGGGCGCTCTTCTACATAAGATATGATAAACTGAACAGAAGGGGACGCTCTTCTATATAAGATATGATAAACTGATCAGTAGGGGGCGCTCTTCTACATAAGATATGATAAACTGAACAGTAGGGGGCGCTCTTCTACATAAGATATGATAAGCTGAACAGTAGGGGGCGCTCTTCTATATAAGATATGATAAACTGATCAGTAGGGGGCGCTCTTCTATATAACATATGATAAACTGAACAGTAGGGGGCGCTCTTCTATATAAGATATGATAAACTGAACAGTAGGGGGCGCTCTTCTATATAAGATATGATAAACTGAACAGTAGGGGGCGCTCTTCTATATAAGATATGATAAACTGAACAGTAGGGGGCGCTCTTCTATATAAGATATGATAAACTGAACAGTAGGGGGCGCTCTTCTACATAAGATATGATAAACTGATCATTAGGGGGCGCTCTTCTATATAAGATATGATAAGCTGATCAGTAGGGGGCGCTCTTCTATATAAGATTTTGGGATTAGAAAATAAGGGGTTCTGTCCTGTACAGGAGTGTTACCACCGGCCTCACCCATGTTCCAGGTCCCTATGAAGACGGAGATCATATCGGGCTCATCCTGGTTGGAGTGCTTATTCTTCATCAGCTGCAGCAGTTGGCAGAACGCTTCCCGCTTCTAGACAGAGGACAGAAAAATCACCGGTCACCATCATCACTACGGTCACATGTCCACCTCAAACCCTCTCACAATGGAAGATCTGTGCCAGGGGATCCCTCTAGTGATAGATCTATATAGAGGGATCAGGACCTCCTTCCTCCTGCTGGGACCCCTCTAGTGAAAGATCTATATAGAGGGATCAGGACCTCCTTCCTCCTGCTGGGACCCCTCTAGTGATAATAAAGATCTATATAGAGGGATCAGGACCTCCTTCCTCCTGCTGGAGATCCCTCTAACTGAACAGTAGGGGGCGCTCTTCTATATAAGATATGATAAACTGAACAGTAGGGGGCGCTCTTCTACATAAGATATGATAAACTGATCATTAGGGGGCGCTCTTCTATATAAGATATGATAAGCTGATCAGTAGGGGGCGCTCTTCTATATAAGATTTTGGGATTAGAAAATAAGGGGTTCTGTCCTGTACAGGAGTGTTACCACCGGCCTCACCCATGTTCCAGGTCCCTATGAAGACGGAGATCATATCGGGCTCATCCTGGTTGGAGTGCTTATTCTTCATCAGCTGCAGCAGTTGGCAGAACGCTTCCCGCTTCTAGACAGAGGACAGAAAAATCACCGGTCACCATCATCACTACGGTCACATGTCCACCTCAAACCCTCTCACAATGGAAGATCTGTGCCAGGGGATCCCTCTAGTGATAGATCTATATAGAGGGATCAGGACCTCCTTCCTCCTGCTGGGACCCCTCTAGTGAAAGATCTATATAGAGGGATCAGGACCTCCTTCCTCCTGCTGGGACCCCTCTAGTGATAATAAAGATCTATATAGAGGGATCAGGACCTCCTTCCTCCTGCTGGAGATCCCTCTAGTGATAATAAAGATCTATATAGAGGGATCAGGACCTCCCCCTGAACACTCCATGTAACTTCGGGGGCCGCTTACCCGAATGCTGGCGAATATGAAGTCCTTGCGCTGCGTTTTATCCTTTTCCTTCTCGAAGACGATGCCGAGCTTGGACGGCACTCGCTGAGACTTGATCAGCTGCCGGACTGGTGGGAAGGAAAGGCGGAGTCAGTGGACGACAAATCAAACACGGAGAACTCGCACGCAGCAATTTGTTCCTTGTTAGATTTTCGCTAATAATAAAATGGAACGGGATGAAAAAATATCATTTAGTGCAACTTTGTAGCAAGTCAAAGGTGAGAGGCTGAAGCCGGGGCTGATCTGTGACAAATATCTATGGTCTGCAAGAACATATCACATGGTATACATCCATACACCCCCCTTCATAGTGTCCTGTTACCCCTCCCCCCATCACTGATGCCATCCTCCCCCCCCAT